CTTCGTGCTTGCCTTCAATGCACAAAGACAAGACTCCTCAGCTCAGTTTCTGCACTATATCACAATATGGCCCCTTCGAAAGAGCATTCCAAAGGTCCAGTCGAAGGACACACATTGGAGAGTCATTCGAAGAAGGCACAAAGCATGCATGTGACCCCTTCAAAAGAACACACGCATTTGGTTCAAAACAAAGAATACACAAAAGGCCCATTCGAAGGACACTTTGATGGGAAACACGTATTATTGTCTAAAAAGGGGGTTTGGTCGAAGGATGGATCTAGTTGGTCAAAATGAAAGAAAAATGTTCAAAGAGGCCTGCTGGCCCAAAAGCCAACATACTACAGTTGCAAGCCAATGTAAACAAGCACATTCATGCCAAAAGAAGCTTCGATTGGCCAAGAAAGAGTTTTCGTTTGGACTAGCTGAATAGGGGTTCAAACGAAGAATCCCCAGTGATGAGAACATGAGTCAGTCAAAAGGTACACAAATGGTCCATTCGAGGAGGCAACCAATGGTCCATTCGAAGGGCACATAAATGGTCCATTCAAAGGACCCATTCGAAGGCTATACAAAAATTCCAATCGAAGGGCAGGAATTAGAGGCATTCAAAGGAGCCAAGATGTCCACATATATTCAAATTTCAAAAAGGACAAGATTCCATGTTTTGGCCAACGTTACAAATTCTCATTCATGGCTTTCAAACACCTAATCAAGGTTGTTTAAAACATTTCCTTCTTGTCCCCTCCCTTCTACTCTATATAAGCAGCGTGCTTGCAAGCCAAATACACGCTTACACGCCTACACAGCCTAGAAAGAACACTACCAAATTGCAAAAAATTCTTAAAGTTGTCCAAATCGAAACCTCTGATCCAACCAGATTCAGATCTTTCCAAGCAATCTATCAACATCCCAGGGTTCCCAGGAGCACATACCACCTTCCATTCAATTTTTCTCAAGCCCAGAAGTGCTCCATCGAACCTCACTTTTTGGTAAATTTTGTGACTTTCAAAATTTCAAATCATGCCATATAAATTTTTCTTAAGTTATATTCATGTTATTAATGATGCTTTCTAATTTTCTAGCGTGTTTCATCAGAGCAATAATGCCAGAACCTTAGATCACCATGGTTAGGGGGTCGAAACATGGAGGTTTTTGTTTTCAGGGATGGAGATGGTTTTAGCTAAAACTAGAACCATGATTTAACCTCCCCAGAGCCTGCGTGTCAAAATGTTATATTTTGATTCGTCCATTCAAAATAGAGGGACCCCATTAGAGCGTGCGTGTTTGCCAAATCAGCGTGTTCATTTATTTTACACTATATACATTTCTTTGTGCTTATACTAACGGATGTAAAGTCGTCCCAACGGTTGAGTGTGTGAGTATTAAAGCGTTATGTGTGTGAGAGGTCAGGGATTCGACCCCTGCCTCTTGCATATTATTTTTTCCACTTTCCTTTTTCACGTCCAATACAATCAGGTCATATGCACACACCATGGGTCACTAGATCTATACCCTCCAATGTCAGATCCAAGCGTAGCAAATGCGTGTCCCCATCATGGACACCCAAAGAATCTTCTCACTGGATTCCAATACAGCCCGGGCTTAACATTCACTTGGGCCTAGTAAAATTCAATTTCAGCGTCCCCCCATTTCCTAATTGTCCTGGCCCATTTTGCATTGTTTTTGCCACTTTGCTTTATATTTTTCTTTTTTTAATTTTAATTTGTTTTTTTCATTTATTTAATTAGTATAATATAATAATCAAAAATCACAACAAAAAATATTAGTTTTAGGTTTTTTTTTATTAAACTAATTTTGTAAGTAAATTAATATATAATTTTAACTATTTTCTTAATTTAAAATAAATTAGAATTTAGGTTTTAATTTAACTTTAATTATTTTCTTTTCATAATACAAAAACCAAAAAGAATTTAGACTATCTTCTTTAATTTAATTTAATTTATTTTCTTAAATAAAAAAAAAAGAACAATAAAAAGATTTTCTTCTTTCATTTTCACTTATTAAGTTTTAGACGTGTTTTTAACTTTCGCGCGTTATTATTTTCTCGCACTTTTACATTATTGTACATGCATACTAGATGTAATAGTAATTAATCTTTATTTTCTGTTTTTAATTTCTGCGCTCCCCAAATTTTGTACATTGTAAATCCCTCACTCGAAGCCATGTAATAGTCTAGGTTTTTACCTTATGCATTTTATATTCTGCAATATATATTAACTGCTAGTAACTAGGTGTGTATGAAAAGACTGAAATCAAGCGTTAGCAAACTTAACAAAAAGACAAAAAAATAACTGAACATAATACACTTGCACATATACACCTCTAGGGTACCCCACTCTGATTGCCTTCAGAAATAAAACAGTCATGAGGCAGGAACGCTTTAGCAAAGACCCATAAATTAAAAGATCATAGTCTCTCGATGACCCTACAATTGCCTTTCGGTAAATGATCTAGTCCCTAAACAAAATTGCTAAAGTATCTCCACAAGTTGCCTTCGTGACTGTAACGTCCCTTCGAATGTCCCTCATACATCCAACGATAGGGCTACCTACTCACTAATAGTATGATAGCACTGTCTAAAGGATATGAGAAAAAGAACTACATTTTCGAGTACAAAGTAGATAGCTGTTAGAAGTTTTGCTCAAAAACATTTTTGCACTTACATAAATACTACTTTTCAAAAAAAAATTTCAAAAGTATTTGCTTTGTTAACACTCTTAAGGACTGATACAAGAGTTAAACGCAAAGCAAATCACTGCACTAAGGCATTTCAAAATATTTTTCAAACACACAAAGTACAAAGGTATTTCAAAATGAGTTAACCTCTAAGAGCCCGTAGGTAACTACGGATGGAAAGGATTCTAACACCTTCTTTTTCCATAATCTATCCCCCTTACTCAGAATAATCTCGAAAAGGTCTTTTTCTGTTCTTTTCACCCTTTCCTTAATTTGGATAAAAGAAAAGTCGATGGTGACTCTTGCTTACCGCAACATTTGCGAATACAAAATGCAAAACTAGTATATAACAGTCGGTTCTGTCACCGTATCACAACGTACAACATGAAAAAATAAAACATGCAGAAATTGATAGATACTTCATCAAAGAGAAATTTGACAATAAAATAATTTCTCTTCAGCATACACCCTCAAATCATCAAACGAATGTAATCTTGACCATAACACTTCCTAAAGCCAACTATAAAAACTTAAGATTTAAATTGAACATGATAGACTTCTAAGAGCCAACTTGAGGGGAAATATTGGTCGTTGACCTACAACCATTAAGGTACAATTGTACAACCTTTATAAGAGACATAAATACAACTTTTATATATGTATTATATGAATATATTTGTTCTTATTTACAGAATTATATATTATATAGCCTTTCTTTCTTGTAAATTTAAGTTAATTAGAATTTAATTAATTTCTTTAGTTACTCGTACCTTCTCGATTATTTATATCATGTTATATTATGTACAAATTCAATAAAAAATATAAAATTTTATATATATAAATACACGTTAAGTCATCCCTCATATCATGTAAAACTCTTAATAGTATAATACAATTGTAGTATTTATTGAGAGATCTCCATTACAACTCAACAAACTTATCATGAAACATAAACTCCGGCACAGACACCTGATAAAACAATGATATTGAGACAACACCACAAAATATTTCTATTCAACCTATGTTCTACCTACCAACTTTAACAATCTTCCTCATTGCTATGTACCTAATTGTTCATTTTATCTACATTGTTTGGAAGACAAAAATCCTCATACTTAATTCATAAATCCTAAGCATATTGGCCATTTGAATCTCTTAAATACAAAGCATATACATTGCACATGTTCTTCTTCTTTGACAACACACATATGCTTAACACAAAGGGCTTAGAAAGTTGTTTCAAGAGAATCAGATACTCATTTAAGTAGATACTAGTAAATTATAATACATATTGTCGAAACTATGTGTGTTAGTAGTTGTCCAAGTGTAGAAATAGTTTGTTACACATAGGTTTAATTTTGGATTTAGATAGATTTGATTTAGATCTAAAATAGATAGATTTGTTTTAACTCCAAAATAGATATTTTTAGGTTTTTATAGTTTTAGGTTTTGGCTTAGGGAGCAAACTAATCTAAATCTATAAATAGAGAGAGTAATTCATATTTTTGTAATTAAGTCAATATATTGTATTCACAGAATTTGCAGTTGCAAGTGAATAATAAATTTTTTCATAATTTGTATGAACTTTGCAGAAAATTAATTGTCTTATTTCTTTTTTTTTCTTTTTTTTTTTAATTTATTGTCATTGTATAGTGGATATCAATCTTGTCTATCAAAATTGATATAAATTCATCTCAGATATTTAGTGAATTTTCAAGAGATACTAGTATTATCATTAGACAACTTGCTCATTTTATATAGGCCAAAATCAACATTTAAAGGAAAACCTATCTAGTATTAAGGGTGCATTTGGATAAAAGCTTAATTAAGTACATATTGAACAAAATAGTTATCCTATAAGCACTATGAACTATTTCTATAATCAAAGAAGGAATGTTATTCAACTATTTTTTCTTAAACTTTAAGTCATTTTCACAAGTTATCATGAAAAACTTATTTTTATTTATAAAAAAATTATTATTTACTAAAATGATATTAATGATCATTATCAACTTTAGCCGAGAGATTAAAACTTTGTTTCTTAAGGTTACAAAATCAAACTTGTATTACTGAACTAACACCTCATGAAAAAATATTAGATTGAGTTTTGATGGCTAACTTTTTTTTAGTATCCTGGAAAGTTTTTTGAAATAAGCTGAAAAACTTAGACATATCATACACTACTTTTATAAGCACTCACAATCACTTACTCAAGAGCTGTAATTATAAAATAAGTTCAAATAAACTCCTCCAAATGCACCTTTAATCCTTGTAACACCATTTGGCATTAACACAATAATATTCTATCGTGCCTCGAACAATGTCGCAGAAGCTTCATTTTGTGAACAATCTCCATAACTTATTGAAGAAGATTCTACCTGAATTGGATGATGAGCTGTTCCAGCATAGAACCCCGGTTGGTTAGGTTCAGGCAACAGTTTCTCACATTCTTCAAGACTCAGTCTCCTGTCAAACCAAGAAGAGGAGGTGTTCGGAAAGTCTACTGATAAGTTATATAGAAATTCTTCTGTAAACAACATCAAGACTCTGTGGCCCAATGGATAAGGCGCTGGTCTACGAAACCAGAGATTCTGGGTTCGATCCCCAGCAGAGTCGTTTTTCAATTTTTTACTATCCATCGCCACTACTACTGCTTTACTCTAGTATGTGGCCCTACTTTCATAACAAGCAAAATATTCTTGAGAAGCCATTAAAAGCAATATAGTGTAAAACTACATTTAACAGCCAAGTGCTTAGATTATAGTGTGCATTATATAAAAAACCTCACAGAAATACTTTGACAATTACCATTAAGGGTATGTTTTGATTATGCATATATTTCGTTTTCTCTTGATATGGTTCAATATACTTTGCTTAAAGATATATGCTTTCAATTTCATTTGTTGACATATTATTACAAATATGCTTTTATTATACAGTACTTATGAAGCATCAACGAGAATGCTTGGTGGATCTAATAGTTTTGGAGGCATATTTTTGATAATATCTCAAAATTGACATTCAACTGCATTGACCTGGGCTATTCTAGTGCATTCAACCAAATTGACATTTTTTTCTTTGTTTTTGGAAGCACTCAGACAAATTTCTGATCCATTGTATAGACATACATAGATTTGGCAACAAAAATATAAAGAGGATCAATTCAAGTGTTTAACTGATAGAAATTTCTTAAAGTAAATTTCACTCTATAGGATATATATATATATATATATATATGACAATAGAAAGTGTCTGAGATGCATGAATACAAGGTTTTTGAATTTGATACTTAGAAATTGAGGCTAATAGAAAATTTGAGATGCATCAACACGGGCCTTTTGAGTTTGATGTTTAGAAATTGAGGCTAATAGAAAATTTGTAACATAGGGTTAGAACATTGTTAAGAATCCGTTAGCATTCAATTAATATTGATTGGGATTTAATAGTCTTAACTGTAATTATGTTATTTATTATTATGTACAATCACATTTGCTTATAAATATTCAGTATGTGTGATCATATTTGACACATAGAAACACAATTACAATATAGTATCGGAGTCTCGTTTAAAATTCGTTGAATCACCTCTTATCAGATTTTTGCTATCGGAACACCCACCATTTAGTTCTACGCTTCAGATGTCCAATTCTGGACGTGAGGGGATGTTAAGGGTCCCATATCGAATAATATATAATTCCATATCGAATAATATGAAGAAATGTGATAACTAAAATATGATTTAATGTAACATATAAAATATGGTGTAAATGGAATTAAATATAATATAATTTTTTCATTCATAAATGATGTACATTATATTTAAAAAGGGTGTAAATTAGCATGTATTTACACTCAATTTTTATTTAAATAGGGTGTAAACTAGCATGTATTTACACTCGATTTTTATTAAAATAGGGTGTAATTAAGAACGTATTTACACCTAATTTTTATTAAAATAGGGTGTAACTGAGAACATATTTACACCCGGTTTTTATTAAAATAGGGTGTAACTAAGAACGTATTTACACCCAATTTTTATTAAAATAAGGTGTAATGTAGAACGTATTTATACCCGATTTTTATTAAAATAGGATGTAACGTAGAACATATTTACACTCGTTTTCTATTAAAAAATGGGTGTAACGTAGAATGTATTTACACCCGTTTTCTATTAAAAAACAGGTGTAACATAGCATGTATTTACACCTATTTTTAAACGGGTGTAAATTCATTAGACATTTTTCACCCGATGAATATACACTTGTTTTTTATTAAATTTAAATGGGTGTAAATTTAATAAAAACAGGTGTAAATTAACCTTTTTGTACTAGTGTTAATTCGAGAAAAGATGAAAGCTTCACAAAGTAGGCAGAAAAGTTATCATGATAAAAGAAGGAAGGATTTTGAGTTTCAAGAAAGAGACTGTGTATTTTTTAGAGTCACTCCAGACGTGCTTTAAAATCTAAAAAAATTACTCATCGATTTATCAGTCCGTATAAGATTTCTAATAGAGTTTGAGCGGTTGCTTATAGGGTGGCCTTGCTACCTAATCTTTCGAATTTTCATAATGTATTACATGTTTCACAACTTTGGGAGTATGTTTTTGATCCGTCTCATGTGATTCTGATGGATGATGTGCAAGTAAGGGATGACTTTACAGTTGAAACCTTACCTGTGAGGATCGAAGACTGCGAATTGAAAAAGTTGAGAGGCAGGGAGATTGCTCTCATGAAAGTAATTTGGGGAGGCGCTGCCGGAGAGAACATGACGTGGGAGTTGGAGAGTAGGATGTGAGAGGCGTATCCAGAGTTGTTTGCATCAGGTAAATTTTTTCGAGGATGAAAATATTCTAAGTGGAGGAGAATTGTAACACTCCGATTTATTTAATTAATTTTCTTAAATAAATTGTGTGATGATATGAGTTGGTTGATGTGTTGATGTGTTAGGGGAACCTTAGGTGTTGGGTGGTGGCCTTAGAATCATGAGATTTAAGGTGTTAGAGTTGTTTGAGTAATAATATAAAGATTGTGGGTGATAGAAGTAAAATAATTAGTAATAATTAAATTATAATTATTTTATTAATTTTAAATGATAGAAGGGATAATATTATTTAAATAAATAGTTAGTTGAGATATTATTTAGTTGGGATAAGTTTTAATAATAATAATAATAATAATAATAATAATAATAATAATAATAATAATAATAGAATAAAATAAGAAAAAAGAGAATATAGAGACATACTCTTACGGAACATGAAAACAAAAAAGAGAAGAGGAAGAGAGCTAGAGCATAGGAAGGAGAACCTCCACTAGAGAAGTGTCAAGCTCATCAATCTTAAGGTAAGGGTTAGATTTTCTCTTATGTAAGGGATTATGTAATAACATTTGAGTGGGTAATTAGTCTCTTTATGATTATTTTCTATTCTCTATGTGTTGTGCAATTTGGTGTATAATGATGTGATTGTGTGATATGTTTGGATAAATTAGGTTTTGTTGAATGATGTGAATGTTGTGTGTTGTTGTGAACCAGAATGTAGAACTTGGGTACACGGTTTATTTCAGAAAAATGGGGTTTTGGGGAAGTGTTTGGGACTGCTTTCGTACAACTAAAATTGCATAAAATTGCTTATGTCGCAGTAGTAATCGATTACAGGATTTGGTGTATTCGGTTATACCTGAGACATATTTTAGAAAAATAAAAATCTCTATGGGTGTAATCGCTTACGTGTTTTGGTGTAACCGTTTACACTGTTAAACATAAGCGTGAACTGGAATTTTGGGAGGTGTAATCGATTACTAGTTTTGGTGTAATTGGTTACCACATAGAGGATTTTTTACTCACTATTCTGAACTGGGCGTAATCAGTTACTAGATTAGCATAACCAGTTACCACTGTTGTATGCTGAAAAATAAGTAAATTCATAACTTGACCTTCAGGTGTCCGATTGAGGTGTCGTTAGAAGCATTAAAAAGATAATATAGTGTACTTTCATTTAAAAATAGTTTTAGTTCTTAGAAATGATTTAAATGATGTGTAATGGTGTTGTATGGTGTCTATTTGTATGTTATGGTGTGGTGTTGGTGTATGGATTATATTCAGGTATACGATGTATTACTATAATGCTAATGTTGAATGCATGTAACATTTATTTTGGTGTTTGGTGGCTGGTTCTAACATAATATATTGATTAAGGTGAATATCATCTTACATATTTGTTGATGTTGCATGTCATAGATGAATCATGTATCATGGTGTTTGGACGAGAGTCTGCTTTTGGTGAGCCTCAATCCTATGGTGGAGATTGAGTGCGAGTAGCTAATTCCCATGGTGGAGATTAGTGAAGTGTTGCCTATGGTGATGGTAGTGACTTTTGGTATACTATAATCCTATGGTGGGGATCGGGAGCAAAATGAACATGGGAGTTCATAATTGGTACCACATGTATTAATTCATAGAGTTTGGTCTCGTTGCATTGCGTATATAATTTATTATAATGTTTGGATGATATAGAGCGTGCTTGTATAATGTATTACTATGTTGGATTGTGTGCAATGTGAATTGTGGAATGAGTGATTGTGTTGAGATAATTACATGCTTACATATTATTATGTATTTCATTATATAATTGTGAATCTCACCCCTTATGTTTGAATATTGTCTCCACGTGGATAACATGCATATACTCGTAAGTAGAGGTGTGGAAGTTAGTGAAATAGGTTGCTCTTCTTTAAGCATTTATTGAGTCAGTGACTGCTTTGATATGTAATACTGGGCTGACGCTTGTTTTGTTTATGTTGGGAGAAAACTATATGAATACCTTTGTTGTTGGATAATTTATATATTTCATAATTCTTTATGAGTGTTGTTGTTATAACTCATGTTTGAGAAGTAAAACTATTTCTTGTTGATGTTTTCTGCTGCTAATAAAATATTAGAGTTTAGACTTGAATATATTTTAAAGTTTGGCAGGTGCTCATTCTAGATCTCAAATCACATATTTGAAATCTGAATTTCGTGGTACAAGAAAAGGAAATCTAAAAATGGAGGAGTATCTTACTAGGATAAAAAAGCTAACTGATCAACTAAAGCTAGCAGGTAATCCTGTCATAATCTTAGATCTAGTCATTCAAATCTTGAATGGTTTGGACTATGACTACAATCCTATAGTAGTCAAACTGTCAGATCAATCATCACTCGCTTAGGTTGGTCTACAAGCTTAACTCTTAGCCTTTGAAAGTAGGCTCGATCAACTCAATAACATCACAAATATGTCTCTCAATGCTTCTGCAAGTGTTGCCAACAAAAATGAATACAAAGGCAACAAGTTCAACTCAAACACACAAAACTCAAATTGGAGAGGTTCCAATTTCAGGAACCACGAAGGAGGCAGATGCAAAGGGAGAATGCTCAAATCAACATGTTAAGTGTGCAACAAAACATGTCATATAGAAATGAATTGTTTCCATAGGTTTTACAAATCTTACTAAAATTGATCAACTAATGCAAACAAAGGTGATACACACAGTGCATATCTGCCCCCACCTTACTATGCACAAGACTATGATTGGTACTTTGACAATGGTGTAAGCAATCATATCACACATCAAACAAAAAAGTTTCAGGATTTAACCGAGCATAATGGTAAGAATTTACTTGTTGTTGGAAATAGTGCTAAACTGGATATTGTTGGTACAATTTCATCCAATCTAAATTCACTTAAATTGCATAACATGTTATATGTACCAAACATTACCAAAAATATACTTAGTATATCCAAATTGACTAATGATAATAACATCATTGTTGAGTTTTATACTGATTGCTGCTTTGTGAAGGACAAAATGACAGGGAAAGCACTTCTAAGAGGGAGAGTTAAAGATGGATTGTACCAACTCTTAGGATTAGATAATAAGTCCAATGACCCTTGTGCCTACATTTCAATCAAGGAAAGACGGCATAGAAAACTTGGACATCCCAACAATAAATTGCTAGACAAAGTCTTGAAGAATTGCAAGATCAAAGCACCACCTAGTGATAGTGACCATCCTACTTTTTGTGAAGCTTGTCAATTTGGAAAAATGCATCTTTTACCATTTAAGTCTTTTGGTTCACATGCCCTTAAGCCATTAGATTTGATTCACACTGATATATGGGCTCCTTCCTCAATAAATTCCACTTATGGTTTTAAATACTATGTTTATTTCATAGATGACTATAGCAGATTTACTTGGATTTTTCCCTTAAAACATAAATCTGAAACCATACACACCTTTTCTCAATTTAAAAACTTGGTGGAAAATCAATTGAACAAAAAGATAAAGACTGTCCAATGTGATGGTGGTGGTGAATTTAAACCAATTCAAAAACAAACATTAGAAGCAAACATACAATTTAGAATGTCCAATCACACATGGAATCTAATACCATACACAAGTCAAGAAAATACTATTGACTCAAAATGGATTTTCAAAACTAAGTACAGAGCAGATGGATCAATTGAAAGGAGAATGCAACATTAGTTGCTAAGGGCTTTCAATAAACCGTTGGATTAAACAATGATGAAACATTCAGTCCTATGGCAAAGGCTAGCACAATTAGAATTATCTTGTTAGTAGCAGTTCATCTCAACTGGGACATTGGACATAAATAATGCATTTCTCAATAGATACCTAAAAGAACATGTCTATATGCATCAACCAGAAGGATTTCTCAACTCTACACATCCAAATTAAATCTGCAAACTATCAAAAGCAATCTATGGTTTGAAACTGGCACCAAGAGCATGGTATGATAGCCTCAAACATGCACTATTAAGTTGGGGATTTCATAACACCAAGAGTGACACTTCACTATTCTTTATCAAAGGTACTGATCATACAATCTTCCTCCTCATTTATATTGATGATATCATCATCACAGGTAACAATAACAAATTTTTGAAAGCTTTTATCAAACAGTTAAACATTGTGTTCTCATTAAAAGATCTCGAAAAATTGCTTTTTTTTTGGGAATTGAAGTACAGAGAAACAATAGTGGCTTGTACTTGAAGCAATCTAAGTACATTATAGACTTGCTCAAAATATTCAATTTTGAAAAGTCACTGCTTGTCCAACACCAATGGTAAGCGGCATGCAATTTACCACTGGGGGGGGGGGGGACCAATTAAAGATGAACCTCTATTCAGACAATCCATGGGAGCCCTATAATACTTAACCAACACAAGACCTTGCATAGCCTTTTTTGTCAGTAAATTGAGTCAGTACACAAGTTCTCCTACAATGGAACATTGTCAAGGCATAAAAAGAATATTCAGATATCTTCAAGGCACCATTGATCATTGTCTACATATTAAACCATCAACTGATCTAGACATCACAGGGTTTTCAGATGCAAATTGGGCAACAACCATAGATGATGGAAGATCAAATGCAAGACACTGTGTTTTTCTTGGTGAAACTCTAGTATCTTGGTCTTCATGGATATAGAGCATTGGCAGGTTTGGCAACTAAAATTCTGTGGACATGTTCACTAATGCAAGAGTTAAAATTTCCCCAATTGAGAAAGCCTATTTTGTGGTGTGACAATCTAAGTGCTAAAGCTCTTGCTTCAAATCCAATGATGCATGCTATAACTAAACACATTGAAATTGATGTGCACTACATCAGAGACAAAGTGCTACAAAATGAAGTCACAATTGCTTATGTACCATCAGCAGACCAAGTTGCAGATTGCCTCATCAAAGCTCCCACTCACTCATGGTTCAATCAATTAAGAGACAAACTTGGAATAATTACACCACCCTTAAGTTTGAGGGGGAGGGGGGGGGGGGATGTGTTAGACAAGTCACATAATACTGTCTTGATTCATTGTACCTGGTTATTAACTAGTCATTAACTACATAAATCATATGTAATTAGAGTATTTGATTTTATGTTGATTAGTTTCCTTATTGGTAGCCTGTACATTAAGTTCCCTTGATTCTTGGATCGTGAATGATTCTCTCTTTCTCTTGTATATATACTATGACTTGTAAAGAGAAATATTATCCCCTTCAAAACTATTCTATTTGTATTTCTTATTTGTGTGCGTGTCTGTGTGTTACATATCCTATTGTATGAGCATGTTGTTGATGAAAGTAGCATCTTAATTGCTTAATTATTTTAAATTACTCTGATTTTTGTTTAAAAAATTAATTCGGAGAACTAGGATGTTACATGTATCACCCTTAGCGAGGTATCACCTCGCCCCTATCGTTTTCCTCTTACATAATCATGAGAAACGTGTGATAAGCTGTTTCTTAGACAAAGATAAGTCAAGGCCAGTAACTGGCCTACATATCCCTAGGAAATAGAGACTCAATGACCTACTATTGACTGGGTGGATGGTTATCTTTTACAAGAAAACCCTAAGTCAAAGAGACATCTATAAATATTTCTTCATGATGTGAGAAAGACATATCTTAGCTGATACACATCAGTTTATATATATTGTTACCCTAAAAGCATCACACTACATACAAAGTCTCTCACATCACATGAGCACGTCCTCTAAACCACCACAACCATACATGATTTTTAACTGTTGTTGGCAAGTCATAACCCTCATACATCATAATATATCTGCCAAGACTTCTGAGTACCTCTGACCTTGCAAAGGTGACACACCTGCATTTGTTGAGTAATACATGTTCCATCACATACCATTCTTTTAATAGTTCTAGTAGAATTATCCCAATCCAACTTATAATACATAACAATATTTTTAAATTATATTTTTTCATTTATTTAAAATAGATAAATATTTCTAACTAATTTAATTGAATTTTTTTTTTACCATTATGAAATATTTATTATTATTTTTATATTATTTTTTATAATAATCAAATATAACTTTTTTTATTATAATATTTTACTTTTATATAAGTGTTTTTAATATTTTTTAAAATATAAATGTATTTTCTATTATTAATTTATATTATTTTATTGTAAAATGTTTAAAATATGCAAGCTCAAAATAAAAAACATTTTTTAATTGATTTTTAAATAATATTTAGTTAATTACATGTCATTAAACTAAAATATTTTTAATGTTTGCGAATATTTTCTTACAATTTATTATTTATAGTAATTAAATATTAGTTAATTTATATTTTTTTTGATTTTATATAAAAACTAACTTTTATAACTTATTAAATAATTTTTTTTGACTATTACAAACTATTTTTATGTTTTATTAATTTTTTGATTTAATTATAATTTTGGTCTCCTATTTTATCCGACTCACGAAATTAGTCATTCTATTTTAAAATTAAATATTTTTAATATTTCTATTATAAATTTAATCAGTTTCGATTTCTCTTTCATACTTCTGCATTTAAAATTAACGATATTTTCATTTTTAAATGATAAATTCCTTGTAAAACAAGACAAATCATCATCTATAAATGTATTATTAAACTTTATAGATAAAAATAAGTTAAAAAACGAAAATTTCATCGATTTTCTATGAAAAATTATGAGAAATAGACTAAAACTATTTGAATTTAGAATAGAGAAACCAAAACTATTTAAATTTAAAATAGATAAACTAATTTCGTGAATCAGATAAAATAGAGGGGACCGAAACTGTAATTTAACTTAATTTTTATAATGATTTTCTAATTTATTTTTCTTGACTATAATAAAAATGTTATTTTTTTATATAAAATTATCATATAATTTTTTGGTCAATATATAATAAGAATAACCTTAAATTCTGTTACATCTTTTAAATAAAATTTAATTCCTAGAGTGTAAATTTTTTTTATACTAGCACTATATCACACTCACTCAATTATATAATTTTAAAAGAAATTAAAATAAAAATTAAATATTTTCAATAACTTAACATTATGATTAATTGATGGTATACATTTTTTTTATACAGTTGATATATTCCAATTAAATTCTTTAAATAATTAAACACTATAAATATGTTGAATTGTTTATTTTTCTTATATATAATCTTTATTATATATAATAAAAAATATAATGAAATAATTCAATTAATATTTATTAGTTGCGTAGATTTAAATTCAACTATTAAAAATAATATTTTTTTTGACAAGAAAAATAATAAATTGTTAAAATTTATAAATTAATATCCATTTAATTTTTTTAGAACATCTATTAAAACATATACATCGGAAACAGAAATATATTTTTGTATGTTAAAACCGGAATTTACAGCAAACTTTAATAAAACTAGTCCCTCGTCGTTCCCTTTTTCTTTTTATATATATATATATTTTTTGGGTAAATAAATTACCAATACTAATAAATTTCCTTTCTATTCACCGTACCCAAAAAAATTCCTTTGTATTTATCCAAAAAGATAAATTCCCTATATATCTCTCTCAAAAAAAAAAAAAACACAAATTTCCTTTTCCGTTCTGATATTTGAATCCCGCGCATTCTCTGACCTCACCAATTCACTTAATCTCACAATTCTCAATCTTTAGGGCTTAACACATTTCATTTCATCATGTTTCTCGCCTTCTAATTCTCCCTCTCGCCGCGAACCGCTTCCATGGCGGACGATAACTCCAATCTCGACGCGGTCGCCGCTACCGATTCCTCCAAACCACCTTCCTCCTCGTGTATTCGAATAGGTGACCGTCAACTCTTCCATGTTGAGCTCCGACCTGGCGAGACCACCATTGTGTCGTGGAAGAAGCTTCTCAAGGACGCTAATAAGGCCAATGAGGGATCCACTTCCGCGGCTGCTCAGCAACTTCCTAAAGCTAACCCCGCGCTCGAAGCTAGAATCGCTCCTGTGAGTCTGTTTTTTCGTTTACATTGCTGAATTTTTATCGTGTTTGTTAGGTTTTGTTACTTTTGTAGCTGTTCGTCAATTTTGCAACGGTTTTTGTAGTAATGTTTTTAGCTGAATTGCGTTCTTCACTTTTGAAATTATTTGATCGGAAAACTATAATTGCTTTTTGAAGTTCTCCTATTAGACTTCAACATTATTAGCTTGAATTGTTGTCAGACTAGTGCTTGCTACAGCTTAGGAGATTTTGAACAAGTAGCTATTACACTATTTACTACAAGTTGTTGGGTGACGGCTTATTGTATAGCCTTACCGGGTAGTGGATTCGTATTGAGATTTGCAGATAGCAAAAAGTTATTAATTGAACTATACAGTGTCTCAATGGTGGTTGTGTCATGGCTGGTGGGCCGACTCAGGTTGCGCCTGCAGAGCATATGTATGCAGTTGCTCCTGCTGTGTTGCAATTTGCAGTTAAAATATATGTTTGGACGCTGCTATTAGATCATGGAGAGTAAGCCTCGTTTTCTGACTTTTTCATCCATATTTCTTTTGTTGATATTTTGTTATTTACCTTTTTTTATTCATCCGCATCAGAAGATCAGAAATGCTCTTCCTCATTCATTCCAACTATATTGTCTGTCATTTTCACCACCTTCATGATATTGTTGCTGGTATTTTTGGTGATTGCTGGCATTTTTTTCCACCGATACTGGTCACTGGCATCCTTTGCTAGTTGCTACTCAGCCTTTAAACCTTGCACTTTCTTCCCAGTCTGCAGCTTACCCTCTGTTCACGCCCCTATGTCGCAGTTTGCAGCTTACCCTCTGTTCACGCCCCTATGTCGCAGTTTGCAGCTCTGTTCTTTTTCCCTTTTTACCCTCTGTTATGCTATTCAATCCTGCAATCCAGGAATAACAACTATTGTGGATTGATCTGATCTAGGATTTACTAATTTGAAAAACTTAGAATTTGCGGTGGTTACCTAAGCTGTGCACATAAATATGCCACAGTTGACCAGGATACAGCGTCTACTTCATCTCTCTCCCTCAGTATGGGACAATGTTGTCAACCACGGATAGCATATTATTAAAATTCCGATAGGCAATAGTGCTATAGCGCCATTGTAGCCGCTATTTGACAATATTTTGTACTAAATCGTGTATCACAGAACAATAGCTGTTTGTCCAAATTTTGCTACGCTATAGCGGTATAGCACTGCTATAGCTGCTATTTAACAACACTGGTATGTTAGATGTTGTTTTGAATTTAATCTTAATTCACAAACATGTGATTACTGTTGAGAATTGTTAAAGAGTTCCTCATCGGATGAGATATGACCTGTAAATATGTTTATAAATGGTAGAAATCATATCCTTACAATCCGGATTTGTAGGGATGGGTTAGACCGAATTCAAATTCATCGATGGTATCAAAGTCTATCCAAGATCTGTTGGGTCATCTGTTTATTGGTTTCCTCGATCAGATCATCCACCATTTATATCCACACACCAAACCCAACCCATTGGGCCATGAGTGTCTGCGTTAAAGGGTCCCACATCTGATGAGATATAGCTTGAAAATATGTTTATAAGTGGGGGGCAATTCTCATCTTACAAGTTGGTTTTGTAGAGATGAGTTAGGCTCTACCCAAATTCTAAGAAGAATCTTGTTTTTATAACATAAAACTGAAATATGTAGAGTCAAGGCTTTGATTGACTCTAGTGTTTTATGGTTTGGTATTTTACTATTTGTCATTTGGATAGTTGTGATGTGAACCTTCGTAAATTTTTGTTTTCTTTGAAATTATATATAGTTTTGTTATTCACAATTTTCGCTATCCTCACTTGTCACTTTTAGGGACAAGCTGAGAATAATGAACAAGATGCTCCCCAGACAAACCGGTTCAGTGCTGTAATAGAGAAGATTGAACGGCTTTACATGGTATATATATTATGGTTTACTATATTATGCATGTTACTCAATGGCCTGTACCTGCAAGAATTAACTTCTACTGTAAATTCATATTCAATATGTGCATTTAAGAGTTATATTAAAATTTTCTGGGCATACTGAATCAATTTTAGGGTAAGGATAGTGACGATGAGGATCTACCTGTTGTTCCTGATGATCAATATGATACAGAAGACTCTTTCATTGATGACGCTGAACTGGTTGGTTTATTTTGTATATTGTATCTGTTTGTTATGACTCTTTTTACCTTTGATTGCTTCAGGGAGTGTTATTGTTCTATATTATGGACTTTCACACACAACACACATACACAAACTTTTATATTTTTCAATTGTTCTTTTTGCAGGATGAATATTTTGAGGTTGACGATTCTGTAATCAAACATGACGGTTTCTTCATAAATAGGGGGAAATTGGAACGCATGTAAGTGTTGTATTAATTAAATATTTGTCTGAAGTATTTCTTAATGTTGTCTTTTATAAATCACTTAAATTTATCAAGCCTTTGCACCTTTTCATTCTGGTTTATAAGTGAAGTACATACGCCAATGGAGGTATATTGCCACGATGAGTGATTGTATTTAATGATAATTTATGTGTGCTTTTGGAACTTCATGAACATGAAATGAGATTGTTTATAATTCATAGCTATCTTTTGAGTTTGAGTTGTGACAACAGCTACTACTACAATTTCTGTATAAAACTTTGTATGTTTATGCTTGTAATGTTGAGTACAATACATCTGTCATATAAAGGAATAAATAACTCCATACCTCTTTTCCATGTGCTGATGCTATAACAAAATGTATGTATATTAAAAGTTGGCAAATACTAACCAGTTTTAGGATACCGGCTAATAAATTAAAACTAAAAGAATTTTATCGAAAAGGGTTGCATTTATCGTAGACGATGGATTAGTTCTTTTTCTTTCTAACAAATATTTATACTTATAGGGAGGGACATTGGTTAACACTAGCAGAAGTGCAGAACCATTGTAAGTTTGACCATTGTGTAACTTAAAACAAATCCTTGAAGGGTTTTGAATTACTAGCCTGCAAGGCTGAAGGGTGGAGTTATTGCATAAATGCATGACTAGAAAACGAGCTTTAGTCAGGGCAGCTTGAGTGAAACTTAAATTTTGAGAAATGTTTCTTTTGCAATTTGCACTGTTTATTTTTTTCTATAAAATGTCTGGTGCAGCCCTTGAATCATACTAATTTATTCCGATATTAAATTTTGGGTCCATGTTGGGTTTGGTGGTCTGTCAAATTTAGGTAATACTACTTTTGTTTTATCTCCCACATAAATGGGAAGAATATCTGTATTTTTACACAATTCAATAACCTGCAGTGATTAAACCGAATAATGTAAATCTGGTCTGTCTACTGCCCTTAAAACAGTTTTCTTACATTCATATTTGACTTCTTTAAACAGATGGAATCATGAAGGACCATCCAATCAAATGCTAAATTTATGATTGAATTTATTACATTGAATATTACAGTAAATAAAAGATTTATACAGATTCTCGATCATTCTTATTGATTTTATCTTTCTTTATTACAAGAAATGAACCTCCGGCATTACCTAATCAGCCAGCAAAGAAAAGGTGCCGAAAAGATATATTGAAGAATCCAGGTGAAAACATTGATGGACGTGTATCAAATAAGCATGTAAAAGTGGGCAAGACAGCTGCAGGAAAGACTGCGCCATTACCTGTGAAGAATACACTTAATTCCTCACAGAATTTGGCTGTACCTGGTGAACATTATGAAGACTTGAAATCTCAAAATCAATCGGAGGTCTCCAGAACTACTTTGAAAAAGGAACCGGCTGATATTATACCAATTTCAGATCCTTCTTCCTCTTTGAAATTATCAAATAGTGATGTCTCTTCTGTGGTAGAAGCCAAGGATGCTGATAAGAAGAAGACAATACTTCAATCTAAGAACAAAGTGGATAAATATAAAGATGCAAGCGGAGCGCGTGATACTTCTCATCAGAAGTACCAAGAAAAAAAAGTTTCTATACCTTCCAAATCCCAACTTGGAAGAATCCCAAGTAGTATTGATGATTTAGAAAATACTGGTCGATCCAAAGATAAAAATGGCATCAATGAACTGCCAGATCTAAACTTGTCTGAGGGAAAATCTGTGATGCAAGCACCAGTAAGTTAACTTATTTTGCTTTTCTGCTGTCTGTTTTACTTTCAGTATTACAATTTAACTCAATAAGTTATCCCAAACTTCACAGCTTTGGTACAATTTAATATTTGCACTGTATAAACAATACTGATAAAGCATCAGTGTCATTTGTGTATCAGACACCGATATGCATATTCCTAGATACCTATTAAGGAAGTATCCTTCATTATTTTGTTTTATGTTTAAGAAATTGTTGACCATTGTGTTTGGTATACTGCTTCAGTTTGGTATATATATTCCGAACATTATTTTAGTTTGTGGTATGCTCCAATTTAATAATTGATATGCTATGAATAAAAACAATTATTTAGTTAACAACAATTAAGCCTTATACATATACTACTAGATGGGATCGACTACATGGATTAAACGATGCCATAATGTTCTATTAAATGTCATACTTTTTATCAACTCATTTGTCTCGGGATTTTTCTCAATAGTTTTTCTTATGATTTATTTAGGTCTTCCTCTACCTCTAGCGGTTAAATAACCCTCCATCTCATCTACTCTTCTTAATACATTTTCTCTCTAAACGTCCAAACCACCTAAGTCTAGCTCCTATCATCTTATCTACTATTAGGTGTTGCCTCAATTGTCTAATGTTTTTAACTCTATCTCGTCTAGTCTTACCACACATCCAATGCAACATCTTCATCTCCACTACTCTTAAGTTATTTCCGTGTTGGCTCTCTACAGTCCAATACTCTGTCTCGTACAACATCGCTAGCCTTACACCTGTCGATAAAATTTTCTTTGTGGTGCTTTCGTATCACTTAAAACACTCGAGGCTCTCCTCCGTTTCAGCTTCTTAGTTTGAACTCAATGGTTTACATCTCCTTCCATTTCTCTCTCGTTTTGTACTATGAATCCGAGATTCTTAAGTCACATAACTTGTTGTATGATATGATCTCCAACATTCACCTCTAAGTTAGAAATGTTTCCGCCTTTTTGCCAAAATTACTTTCCATATACTTTGTCTTACTCATGCCCGGGAAGCCATATATTCTATAAGACTTTGACTCCCAGTCTCCGATCTACCATAATTTATTTTAGTTAAAAAACAACAAAATAAATGATGAAAAATATTAATATCATCAACAAAAATTAACTTTGAAAAGCTTATTAGGGTGGATTTGGCTAGGCTCAGTTGACTCTCATGCTAATTCTTTTTATTTTTTTGTTGATTTGTATCTTTTTTTGGGCTTAACCTCGTTTAATGAATTGCGGACACGACATGGGTATTAGATACAATATGTATCCGGTACGGTGATATGTCGGTCATTGAAAAATGTAAGATACGATACGTTTAAGATACACATATAAAAAGTTAAAATTAGACATCAGTTAAATCATTATCTTACAAAAATCAAACTTTGAACACAACTTTTAACACATTACCTAATACTAAATCTAAACTAAGTTATTGTAATAGTATCAATGTCATCTCCTCTTTCACCATTTCACCATCATCAGTAAATAGAGATAGAGTGGTTTCCAAATTTAGTTCATCAAGAAACAATGGTTCAACTTCAAGAATTCCAACATTTTCAAAACTTTCCAATGCATCTCCATCAATGTCTCACATTTTAGTTCTCCCTTCTCTGTACTCTTCACTTTTCCTATCCAAAAAGCCTCAAATTTGTATGCTCATAAAACAAGTCTTCAACCCTTTTTAGGACTCGACTTATTTCTTTTTAAAGAGTGAATGGATGAATAGACACTCCAATTCCTTTCACAACAAGATGAAGAGCTAGGTTGCACAAGAAGTTCAAAAAAAGCTTTTGAAGAAGAGTGGCAGAAGAACCATGCATCACCAACCAAGATTTAGTATCTAATACTCATCTATCTCTAATGGAGTAAAAAAAAACTCAAAATTATTTGCTTTTGATATGAACCTAACACATTCGTATCAAAGACATGTCGCCACGGTAATGCGCCATATTGGAATTTTTTGTTTTTAAATTAAAAATTCAGATACTCCTTCGATATGTATCGATGGAGTACGTGGTATATCGGTTATATCGGGTGCGATTCAGCAAAGATTTTAGCATATCTGTGCTTCATTGGCTCCATATAATCACCACAAACAAACTTTGACAAACATAATTCGCTAACAAAAGAAGTAAAAGTATTAAAACAAAAGTCTCAAATATTATTATTAACTTAATTCTCTTTATGTCACCAAAAAAACTTCATTATCTTTACTTTCCATTAAAAACAAATTGCGATAAATAAGCACTAGTCCCACATCGGAAGTTTGACATACATAGATAGAGATATAGAACTAGTCCCACATCGAAAGTTTGGCTAACATAGCGAGGTAAACTAAGTTATAAATAAGCACGACGAGGTGCCGGCGTTCACCAAGTGTATTGAACAGTGGAGTCGTTTAATATTAAGTTTTTATTACTGATATGTCGGTACGTGGTTTCCTGCGAATTCTTCACAAATTTGCACAAACCAATTTACAAAAATACTGCAAACTGGTAAGCAGGGACCAATTTGCAAAAGTGCTGCAGGCTGGTAGCCACAGACCAATTTGCAAAAAGTACCACAACCGGTACCCGCAGACCAATTCGCACATGTACCGCTGCTGACTAGTACTTGTGGACCAATTCACATTTCTCTAGAAACACGGGCGAATTATGTGATTATGTGTTAGACATTAGTGGGGATGTACATCATCCAACTGGTGGTGATCATGGTTATCAAAATCCCAATCTAAATCTTAAAATCTTACGATTTTACGATCTCACTCACTCCAACGATCTAGATCTTACGTAGAATCGTGTGTTGTAGTCAAATTGTGAACAAAAATGGTAAAACCAATGGTTATGCTCGATTGGCCAATTCCGGCCACAATCGGCCATTTTTTAGCCACCACCACCATTACAAGCCGAGAAGGATGACAAGAAACAAACGTGCAACAATTTCGGTTCAGCAGTGTCCATTTTCCCACGAGTACACTTGCCTACGAAAATATCATGTAGAAATACTTCAAATATGTAGTATTATTTTCCGTTTAAGTAGTATATTACGATTTTTGTTATGATCTTTTGTTTTGCGATCTTGCTACCCCATCTCGATCTTACAAAAATAATTGAGTTGGATCTTCCGATCTTACCATCCCCTCCCGATCTTATGCAAGATCCCGATTTTGACAACCTTGGTGGTGATGGCGTCTGTTGACGAATTAGGCATAGAACTGGTGCTTTTTGGATGAAGGAAATGAAGGAGAACAAAGTAAACAGTTAATTGTAGTTGGTAAATAGTTGGCAATTGTATTGGAATTTTTGTGACACATTTATTGAGGAAAATATATTTTGATATGGACTAGGGAAAAAGATCTGTCTATGGCTTTTTAGTTATGTTATGATGGTTATCTATTAATGAGAAATATCAATAAATCAATACAAATATCATGCATTAATGCAAAACATGTATTTTTTTAATTAATATGTAGAAGTATCAGTTCCCAATCTTATATTAAGATTTTTCATATCCCTGTATGTGTTTCGTACTGCACCTCTTCCATTTGAACATAATAGGTTCTATCATGCACACCACTGTTGCCACATGAAGCATGATGGAACTGCCCATCAAATAAGAACTTCCTTTGCAGTCAATTTCCTTTCTAACTTGCTTTGTACCAGACAGTGTGTGCTACATTTCACCAAAAAAAAGGTGCTAAATAGTAAAAAGGAACGCTTTGCCAACTACCTGTCTATTTTTCACGAAGAACACTGCTGCTCATGAATTCTTAGTTGTGTTTCTTCATTGCTTGTATGTGCTCCCATGACTTGTTATCTAGGTTGTCGCAGGGCATGCTTTTATATTCAAAATAATAGCTATTTAATTTAAGGATAGTGGGATGTATGGGTTGATTTTTCTGAAAGAAGGATTTAATGGAAAATTTTGTTATCTACACTGTCTATGTAATGTAACTTGGCCGTGTAACATATCAATTTACTGTGACATTTGATAGTGATGACGTGTCAATTAAATGTTATGTGCTTAGCATATACTGTATTGGTAATGTGGTTGGTTGAATCTTGCGCAGAAATCTAAAAACATACTCAAAAAAGCTGGCTCCAGTGTGAGGCCAAAATCTACATTTCTTGAGAAAGCTATTCAAGATTTGGAGAAAACGGTTGCAGAGTGTAAGTTTGGAAACTGTTTTGAGGTTTATTTCTCTTACATAAATAGGCAATATGAGAAGCTTGCAACTAATGGATGTTTTCCTTTTTTTTCAAATATTATTACAGCAAGGCCACCAACTACGGAAAACCAGGAGGTTGATAGCGCATCCCAAGCTATCAAACGGAGATTACCAAGGGAAATAAAGCTAAAACTTGCTAAAGTTGCTAGATTAGCGGTACTAGACAACTCTGCATTCCCGATGCCGTGCTTCTAGAAATACATGATTTCATATATTTTATTCTCGGGGTATATACACATTGTAATATCAGCTTGTATTCTTTGTCAGCAGGCAAGCCAAGGGAAAGTATCACAGGAGGTTGTTAACCGGCTTATGAGTATTCTTGGGCACCTGATTCAGCTCAGAACACTTAAGGTGTTTCAGCATTTATGACCTTTTATTTATTGTTTCAGTCTCCAACCATAATACCCCTTCCCCTTTTAGCTGACAAATATAACTTTGATTTGTATTGATAAGATTAGTCTTATTTTTATTATTATTAGTGATAGGTGCTTTATATATTCTCACCGTAACTATTGGTTGTAAGTTAGATGATTAATATATTTATTTCATCCTGGTACTAGTTGTCACTATTTAACCATTGGTAAGGCTTCCCACTACCATACTAGCCAGCCATTAAATACTATTGGTCATTGAACTCAAAAAGGTTATGTAAATTTGAGAATATAGGTTGCTTCTCTCTCAAACTAGTTGTCCTGCTGTCCCCCATTAGGAACCTTTCTACAATTTGGTGTTTGTTTAATGATTACAGTGGTTTAATAGACATTCTCGAGTCCTGACCTAGTTACTTTGTTCTTTAAGTGACTTACATTTTACGACCTTTTGAAACACTGATTATATTTTGCTGCTTTTTCATTTCTCATTTTATGCTCTTCTATGTGGTGTGACTTTGGCAGTGTTTGACGTTAGACATAAATGAATGAAACACATGTTTGGCTCCTTTTCTTTAGTGGAATCAAAACATACCATTTGTTCTTGTGTCCCATTTTTTGTTCTTGTTCTATTTTTAAATGCACCAAACATAAAATAGAAGCCATATGTTCTATCTCTTTGTAGCAAATACTACCTATGATTCTATGAGATTCTTACATCTAAATGATTGCTTGCCAATGTTATTTATTTTAAATCAAAACTCTTCTCTCTTGAAAAGAGAAGGATCTGCTTGTTTTAGATTTTGGAGACTCCAGACTTTTCTGGTCCGTTTTACAGAATTGATTCTAATGGTTACTGATTATGTTTGCACAGTTTTTCAAGCTCTCTAATTTTCTAAACATGTCACTATAGTTACAATTCATAATCCACTAATAAAAATCAAACAAAGTGGATTTTAAAATCCCTTGTTTTTAATCCATTACCAACCCAAAAAGAAATTTCCCACAAATTATTTCTTGCATATGTTGTAGCCTTACAGTTTTCATAACTGTTATCGTATTTGTTTATATTCAATGGTGTGAATGCATATTTACTTTCTCTTAATAAATGAAATAATTTATCCTGTCATCTTGACATCATCTCATGTAATGTCTTCCTGCTGCAGAGAAACTTAAAAATTATGATCAATATGGGTTTGTCTGCAAAGAAGGAGAAAGATGATAGGTTTCAACAAAAAAAGAAGGAAGTTGTTGAGATGATAAAGATGCAGGCCCCATCTATTGAATCTGAGGTTTGTTTTAGTTGACTTGCTATTTCGATCAATATCAAATCTTAGTAAACTGGTTTCAATGTGTTGTATTTATGTCAATCATACTCAATGCTGCTTATGTTATTTGGTTCATTGTTATATTCATTTTGTTCCCGCCATTAGATTAATCAAGGTTATACTTCATTCCATGGTTGTTGGGATAGCGCGACAGATCGTGAGATCACATGATCTCACGTGACATCCTTCGTTCTTTCTTTGGTGGGATCTCGAGTTTGAAAACCATGGTTCATTCTTTCTTGCAGATGTTTCTCTTGATGAATTCAATGCAATTTTGAGTTTGTTTTGCAATTCCTATTTTGTGTATGTTGATTAATGGATCATCTTTCCTGGAAAGGGATTTCATTGGTTGTAATTATGACATTGAATCATGTTTTCTTTCTATATCTTATTTCTATTCTGTATTGTGACTAGTCTAAGGTAATTTGTGTTGTTTAATTTGCGGTGTTTTTATTTGTTTTCTTGGCATTTTAGCAACAGCAGCAAGCTGGAGCATCTGATGGTCAAGAATTGGGTCCTGATGGAAAAGCAATATCTAAAAGGATTTTTACTATGGACACTGCATTGGAAAACAAGATTTGTGATCTCTATGACCTTTTTGTTGATGTACGGAAAATAGGGTCTTCATTACTTCTGAAAATCCTGCTTGTTTTGAAAATTCTTGTTCCTAATAATCTTGTTTGCTATTGCTCCAGGGATTGGATGAAACTGCAGGTCCTCTAATCAGAAAGTTGTATGTTGAGGTGGATTTCATTTGCATGCTTCCTCTCAATATTTGGTCTGGTGTAGTTTTGGATTGCTTGTGTTATGATTACGTGGGATTGTCTTGTGAATTTATGCTATTAGGGGTCACACTAAACTTGGGTTTTCATCATTTGACATTTTTTTGAATTAATGACTGGTTACATATTTGAATATAAGTAACATCACTGTGTTCCGTTATGATGTTTTCTTTTTTATTTCAAGTCTGTTACATCACGTGTGTTTGTTATATTTTTGTGCGTTGAATTTTCAGTGTCCAAATATAAACAAACATAATTTTTTCTAACTTTAAAGTCTCATGTCTTCAGCTAGCAGAACTATGGCCAAATGGTTGCATGGATAACCATGGGATCAAACGTGCAATTTGCAGAGCAAAAGAGAGACGCAGAGCACTACACAGTAGAAATAAGGTATGTTTTTAGCAGAGTGATTATTGAATGACAATTGTATGATTAAATTCTTATAAATTCATCTTGCCCGTTGATAATGTCAGAAGAACGTGAGAACTTGCTTTTTGCTCTATGTCTGTGCAAATGATGCCAAACAGATTTGATATTTTATTGTCTAGATGATGTTTCAAGTTTGTTTCTATCTCATTACTTTACTCATTATTATTAGGATCAGGAAAAAATTAAAAGGAAAAACTCATTGGCACCTCGGCCTGAAGAGAATGTTCAATTTGATGCTAGTCCACAACGGAACATGCGAAAGAGATTAGCTCCAGAATCTAGCAGTCATACGTCACTGAATAAGGCAGTTTCGAATACAGTTACAGATGTCCGGGTTCTCCCCTCCCCTGTGAATGGTCTGAAGAAAGAAAAAGCAAACACTAGTTCGAGCTGTTCCCCGGATGATGTTAGGGTTGCAGATGGTGTTTTAATTAAAAAGGTAAAGAAGAGAAAGACAGAAGGTGAGTTGGAAGGAACTCATCGTCGCCCTGAGAAGCTGGCTTCTTTGAAGGAAGAATAACGGCCTAGGCCCCTAAAGCAGTCAGCAGTTGCTCCCCCCAAATCAAACCTTCAACCAACATCTTTACCCGGTGTTGAACAGCCAAGCTAAAGTGATATCAGCAAGGATGTCTACACAATAGTGTGTATCACTGTTTTTTGTTTTACCTGATTTTCCCTTTTCAATCCTTTCTGCACCAGGTCAAATCGTACACTCACTGGCTACTACCGTTTTTGCAATTAGTCATCCTTGCAAAGTTATGTAAAATATAGATAGCTTTGCTCATTGTTTAGTGATTCAAGGTGGTCGTGATTCTCCAGTCAGTATGCAATTTTGGTTTTATGTAAAAGAGCTGTTTTGTTTTATTTATTAGATTAGAAGTTTACCGTGAAGGGGATTGAGCACTCTCAAATAAACTTAAGTTTGTAGAAAGTGAAATAATTTTAGAGCACTTTCGAATGAAAGACCCAAATTCTGAAAGATGATCACAAATGGAGTTAATAATGTTCACCACCGTTTTACAATCAAGCTCAAAGATTTTATTTGATAGGTCTAGATGAGTCACCAACTACAGGTGATGTCCTGAATACATGGCTAACAAAAGTTTAGGTGCTCTCCAGCCTCCTGAATACAAGCATTGAGTTTTCCCTGTCAAACTCAAGCCCTGCATCAACATTGCAAGTTATAAAACCTGTCGGTGGTGCACTCACAATGATATGGGCATTTGATACTATTACTACATGCACAACATAATTCGAAGTATAAGACCGTTGCCAGTGCATTATCAGGAATGTGCTTTTGTAAAAATCAACATAGAATCATGGTCCACATTATCCCCAAGTTTTTGAGTTGTGATTGCCATATACTCCGAAGTTGTAGAAAAGAGTGTTTGATCACTGTTATTAAAATTTGAAAGAATTCTTATGCAAAAAGATGCAAATGAATTGGGCGTCATACCTTGTCGAGCATGAATGTTTGGTACAATATGCATACAGACATGAGAGTTATGTAGATTTGGGTGTACACGAGTTGGGTTGGACTGAGTTTTACCTAACCCGTTATCCAACTCATTTACATTTTAATGGGTTGGGTTTCTTGTCTAACTCGTAATTTCAATGTCAAAACTGAACTGACTCGATTATTTACGAGTTGAATTAAGTTAGAATTGCGGGTTGTGCATCAAATTAAAAAAATAAATTCAATTCTAAAACTTGTAAGATAGTTCAATACAATTGCACACATTTTAAAAACTTAAATTAGACGAGTCATCCATAACACTTAGTAATAATAATAAATTCTACAAAACTTGTAACTTCTATAAAATCTATAAGAGTATAGTTTATATTGTGGACATTATTATTATTATTAAGAGCATTGTTGAGTATGATTCATATATTATTATGGATATTGTTGAGTATGACTCATTGTGAAATTTATTATATTGTTGAGTATGACTCATGTTATGGATATTATTATGGATAGGTAACGAGGTTGTGGGGGCTTAAGGAGAATTATTGTAAATTGAGGCCTAGTATTCTATATATTGATGGTAATACTGAAATCTTAATACTAGATTGAAACAAAGCAAACTATAATTGTTTTATAATTGTAGAGGCATGCACCATTGATCAAAATGCGTTAACAAAGATCAATTTTGTTCATTGTCATTTACTTTCGTTTATCTTTATTCTTCTATACTGGTTGGAACTCTAACAATTGATATTAGACGGTGATTAACCTTGGAGCGAAATTTAAGTAACCAGGTTTGAAGGGACATATAATTTTGAATTATGACAAATGAAAGTTAAGGATTTGTTGACTCAATAAAGTTTATAAAATGCACCGTGTGAGACGCATGATAGATGAAGGAGAAAATCGCATGATAGATTCACTTATATATTTTAGACGAGATGATGTATCATATCTTGGACTTAACAACGTTAAATGAGTTATGTGATAAATTGGAGAGTCATTATATGTCCAAGACGCCGATGAACAAATTATTCGCGGATCATTAACTATATAGTATGATGATGCATGGAGAATTCGATTTGCAACAACACGTCAATGCCTTAAACAAAATAATCACCAATCTGGTGAGGTTTGAGGTGAAGATTGATGACGAATATAATTACTTCAATTATCTTGTTGTGCTCATTACTAGGTTCTTATGACCACTTGATGACTACTCTTACCTACAAAAAAAAATACTATCAGTCTTGATGTGATTACCGCTACACTTTTGTCTCATTCTCGAAGGAGACAAAGTGTAGAGGAATGAACTCAAGACAAAAGTCTATATGTGAAAGGGGGTCAAGACCGTAGACATGACAAGGATAATGGAGGTTCTAGAAAGAAGATGTCTAAATATAAGAATAGGAAAAATAACTAAAGTGTTATAGTTGCAAACATATTGGAAATCGATGTGTTTCATCCAACAAATGCACAAATGTGTGGACCCTTAAATTTGATTGTTCTTATCACATGAAGTCGCACCGGAAATGATTCACTATATTATGATCATATAATTTTGGATTTGTGGTGATGATAAAACATGCACTACCATTGGAGTGAGAGAAATTAAAATTGTCATGATATGGGTGTGCGAGCGTTGAATGATGTACAATATATTATATAATTATGGAAGAACTTGATTTTCGTAGGTACTCTATAAGCAAATGGTTTCTCCTACATGTCTGATGGAGATATAAATATTATGAAGGTTAACAAGAGTGTATTAATTGTGATGAGAGCAAGGACGACTATAAGCAACACCTACAAAATGTTGGAAAACATTATTGTAGGTGATATTGGATAAGTTGAGACTGATATGATGCAACCAAACTTTAGCATATGTGTCTGGGTCATCTCAGTGAGCGTGAATGATAGATCTTTATAAGAGAACTCTATTGAAGAGTGTTCGTAGTTACAAGAAGAATTTGTGCAAGTATTGTGTACTTGAAAAATATTGTCATGTTCGATTCAAGATCGAAAAGTATAAAATAGAGGGAATTTTAGACTATGTGCATTCATATGCGGGGGCTTACCAAAGAGGTTCCATGAGTGGTTTTAGGTATTTCGTCACAAATGATTTTTTCCGCAAGGTTTAGGTATATTTCTTGAAACAGAAATATGTGTAAGAACAAGATTTAGTTCTATAATATCATCTCTGAGTTTTGATGATAACAAATGAGTATGGTGGTATGAACAATTTTGTTGTACTAATGTTTGTTAATATTGAGTACTTAACAAACATGTTCTGCTTCTGATGGATGGCGTGGCCAAGACATTAGAAGAGAAATGATTCTACTTCTATGCTACACAAGTCCTGTTGAATAATAGCAAGACACTCCAGAAGACTCTGAAGTGTAAACTCTGATATTTGTCTGAAGAAACCAGTCAAAAGATCTAAAGATAGAAGTTGTTACTAATGTCCAGATGTTGAAGACTCAAACTTCTAAAGACAACGTGTTCTGAAGAAACCAGTCAGAAGATCTGAAGACAGGAGTTGTTACTTACGTCCAGATGCTGAAGACTCACGTTTCTAAAAGATAACGTGTTTCAAGAAACAAAGTTATAAGATCTGAAGACGAAGTTTCTACTGAAGTCCAGATGCTAAACACTTATTTTCTAAAAGGCAACTTGTTCCAAAGAAGACAAAGTTAACTGAAGACAATGTTTCTAACTGAAGTCCAGATGCTGAAGACTTCGTGTTTCTAATAACAAGATTCTAAAGATAAGAATTCTTAAATAACCAAGTGCTAAAGATTCTAAAGACAAAAGGTTTAAATATTCCAAATACTTGAAGTTTTAAAGGTCCAAGGTTATCTACAAACAAGTTCTGGAGACCAAGTGCTGAAGACTCTAAAGACGCAGTTCTTAAGACTCTGAAGACTTGAAACTCTTATGATATAAAGGTTTTCTACAATGAGTTCTCACGACCAAGTGCTGAAGACTCTGAAGACTCTGAAGACTATGAAGACTTGAAGTTCTGAAGACCTTATGTTATGTTCCTGCTTTTAATATCATGCTCGCAGAAGTCTCTGAAGTGCAGAAGGAAAGAATATAATAGTAACACAATACAATAGTACACAATACAAAAAGATTTATGCCACTACCTTTTCATTAAATTGAAGTATGGAAGAGATAAGGACGTTGTAGAACTATTTGTAACGACTCTTTTTAAAATAGTCAACGAATCTATTTTGTTTGGCTATATAAGAAAAGAATCGTATGTTTAAAGCTGGTTGGTTATTGGTTAATGTGTTGATTGGTTAGCTGGTTTCTTAACACTTGATACCGAACAAGCTAAATATTGATGAGCTTGCCATAAGCTGCTTGATTGGGTGCTAAAAGATGCAAGTTGTAAGTCACAGGTGTTGATGTTCATGTTAAAAACAAAATATATTATTATTAGAACACAACCAAAACAAAGCTATCATCCACTATAACAACCAGAATAATTGTTATCAAATGATTCTTCAATCATGTTGATACTGATTACAATGAAATCATATATTCACAATGTGCTTAATCTTATATGCTGCACAAAGCTTACTAAGCCACAGAAGATAACAAAGATGATCATGAAAGCTTCAATTACATATCCACAACACAAATGTTGTACTCTAAGGTGATCATTGAAGAAAGCAGAACAAGCGCTGCTGTCCAAAATGTTCTAAAGTGAATCTAAATGAAGAAGTTCTTCTCTTTACTACATCAAGATCAACAAAGCTTTTAGAAGCTTATGAAGATGAAGACTTTAGCAATTCAAGTGCTTTGGGCTGTTGTATATGAAGAAGCCATTTGAAGAAAAGAAGACCACACATTGAAGCTATAATAAAATCTAATATATTTTAGTGTTTATTAGGTTCTTCTGATGCACTTAATTCTATTTACATCCAACTTGTGTAGAAGCATTATTATTGTAAACAAATGTAAATCAAATATTTGTTTGTTGGTTCCTTGAGAGACTTGGTTGAGTCAGAATTCTCAAGAAAACTTTGGATGCAGCCATCATAGATAAAATCCTGGTAGTGGATTCTACTGGGTCAATGTTATTCATATCTCAAAGGGGACTAAGTGAATGTCAGCCTTCTGAGATCACTGAT